TGGGAGTGACCCGATTGACCAACTGGTCCCTCTGGGAGTGACCCGATTGACCAACTGGTCCCTCTGGGAGTGACCCGATTGACCAACTGGTCCCTCTGGGAGTGACCCGGTTGACCGCTCGACCCCTCTGGGAGTGACAAGATTGACCGATTGACCCCTCTGGGAGTGACCCGATTGACCGACCCACCCCTCTGGGAGTGACCCGATTGACCAACTGGTCCCTCTGGGAGTGACCCGGTTGACCGCTCGACCCCTCTGGGAGTGACAAGATTGACCGATTGACCCCTCTGGGAGTGACCCAATTGACCCACCCACCCCTCTGGGAGTGACCCGGTTGACCGACCGACCCCTCTGGGAGTGACCCAATTGACCGACCGGCCCCTCTGGGAGTGACCCGGTTGACCAACTGGTCCCTCTGGGAGTGACCCGGTTGACCGCTCGACCCTTCTGGGAGTGAAAAGATTGACCGATTGACCCCTCTGGGAGTGACCCGATTGACCGACCCACCCCTCTGGGAGTGACTCGATTGACCGACTGCCCCCTCTGGGAGTGACCCGATCATACATGCCAACCGTGCAGGATTTCCCGGGATAGTCCAGGGAATAGGGTGTTTGTCCCGGGGTCCAGGGATGTCCTGTGAAAGTCCGGGGATTGAGATGGAACTTGAAATCGATGTTTTTTCTCCTATTTATGACGCCTTTTCAGTGTTTCCTCGATCTAGATCCGCTGTAAGCACACACAGCACATAGTAGCATGTAGTAGAGAAAAAAAAAACATGTGGAACTGCAATGAATCGCCGGTATACCGGTGATCAACAGAAATTTTACTTGTCCAGTTGCAGCTCCATGCAATCACATCCTTTGTGGTGACTTCAACACTGACTTGCCACTTCAGCGCCACCGTTTCAGCGCGATACATTTCAGTGCCAGCACTTCAGCGCATGACTTCACAGCGCCAGCTTCTTCAGCTCCATGACTATCAGCGCGGTAAAGTACAGCGCCAGCAAAAAGTAAGGCGCAATAATTTACAGCGCGAAGAAGTACAGGGCGAAAAGGTTCAGAGCGAAGAAGTTCAGCGCGAAGAAGTTCAGCGCGGTAGAGTCCAGCGTGATACAGTACAGCGTGACGCAGTAGAGTGCAAAGTCAATACTTGTACAGTCATAGTCGTTACAGACCATGTTCATACGTACATTGTATAATAAAATGGCGCTGAGAAACATGGCGCTTAGATCTGTGGCAGTGAGATCTGTCGCTCTGAGAAAGGTCGCGCTGAAGTATTTGGCGCTGAACTATATGACGCTGATTTATGTGGTGCTGAGATATTCGGCACTGATCTGCTGGCGCTGAAGTATACGAGGCTGAAATATGTGGTGCTGTAAAATTCAGCGCTTAGGTTCACGGCGCTGAAACACCGTGGGCTGGGGGATCTTTGAGTTGCACACTCTTGGTTATGTACTCTTTATAGTAGTGAGGAATGAGGACAATAGGTAGCTGGTCGTGAGAGAAGCAGAATGAGAGATAACATGTAGAAAGGAGGGAGGGAAGATGCTAGTGAGGCACTGGTCTGCACCATAACGTTTCATAGGGCATCGGTGGTTGTTTGCCAGTTCAGGTGCGGCAGCTACTTGTTGCACTTTTCCTTGAAAGACTGGAGCTGTGTGGGTTGCAGCCCTGCAGGTAGGACGGCTGCTGGTAAGCTGTTCCACAAGGGTATAATGCAGTCTGGGTAAGAAACCCGGAGGCTGCTATGAGTGCTTTCCCCGGTTTAGGAGCCGCATCTGACGCCTGATCACGAGGTGGTGGCGTCCCACGGAAGCAGAAAGGTGGTTCTTGACACGCCCTGCACGCGAACCCGTGCAATTTTGTTTTCACAGCTGGCTGGTTAGCGCTGCTACCTATAAGCGAGAACGCTCTGATCATTTCAAAGGATCATTCGGGGAAGTGAACTGCCTGAAAAGAGAAAAACATGCCAGACCCACCAGGACTTGAACCCGGGACGTTGCTTGTCATGAGCAATGCTATTTTGCTTTTTTGGTTTTTTTCCAGGATGAGATCTTTGATATGGTCAAGCCGGTGGATTCGCTCAAAATTACACTGGAAGATCTGCTAAGATGGTGAGAAGCTCAAAGGAGAGGCTGCAGTGGCTGATCCTGGGGTGCCACAAAGAGCCCCCCCCCCCCCCCCCCCCCGGAATTACGCGATTCAAGTAACATGATGGAATACAATCTGAGCTGTAGTCAAACAATATATTTCCAGGTACAGGTCGTCCCCCGTTAATACGAGTCCGGTTAGTACATAAACCCCGTTAGTACATAAGAAATCTCAAGTCCCGGACGAAACGTGGTCACTTCCAATCAAATTTTGTCGGTTAGTACATAATTCGTTAGTACGTAAACCCCGTTAGTACATAACATTTCTCCGTACCCGCATGCCACCTACCTCGATAATACATAATCTGTTGGTCTTTCGGCCTTCCAGTGGAGGCACATTGTGTTCTAGTTTCTACTTGTGGACGCAATTAGCTCAGAAATCAGAGCGCACATCACAAGCCGAGAAAGCTCTGTTTTTTCCGAGTGACTGTACAGGCGCGGCTGGGCATGCTATCATGTAAACTGTAGAATCTGCGCTGACTGTGACCGTTATAACATAATTATTGTTATGTTATATTGAGGGAATCAAGAATATCTCGCTCCCTGGTCATGGTAGCAAGAAACACTCAGAAAAGTTGAAAAAAGTGAAAAATTCTGGTACACAAGCAAGTTATGTACATTTTCATTTAGTACATAAACCCCGTTAATACATAACATTTGTCAAGTCCCAGAGATTATGTATTAACGAGGGACGACCTGTATATCCAGGTACTGCTAGGTGATTCCAGGTGTTTTCCAGGTAATTCCAGGCATTTCCCAGTTGTTACCAGGTATTCCCAGGCGTTTCCCAGGTGTTCACGAGTGTTTCCCAAGTATTTCCCTGGTCTTTCCAAGGTGTTTTCCAAGGTATTCGCCAGGCATTTTCCAGGTATTTACCAGTATCTCCCAGGTGTTTCCTAGATGTTTCCAGGTATTTCCAGGTATTTCCATGTATTTCTCAGGTATTTCCAGGTGATTCTGGATATTTCTAGCCTACAGTCCATTCAGAAAAAAGATGGACTTCTAGCTTTTGGCCATAAAGGGGTCAAACTTTGAGTTTTTTTAGAATGTTTTTCTGCAATCCCCTATGAAATCCTCTTCCAATTATGTTTCTGAAGTTTATTTGTCCAAAAAGCAAGCCATCACAAGAATAGGATATCGGCCAGGTTTTGCCCCAAAAAGCATTGAATTGGGAAAAACCATCAAAATCCAGGCCGTTTGACCGCGCCTGCAACAGTGCATCGTGGGGTTCGAACCCCAGCTCAGGTACCCTTTTTGGACCCTTTTTCAAAGTTCTAATTTCGCAGCACTGCACTGTGTACAATGAAATCACGAAAAATCGCCAAATACGGGGGTCGCCAAAGCCAGGGCCCATCTTTTTATGAATGGACTGTAGGGCGACACTTACGTAGGTAAATCCCCCATTTCGAGACGAGAGTGTGTGTTTGCAAAGTGAGCTTCCATTTAGACTTTCCATCAAACTGTGCTCTCTCTCTCTCTCTCTCTATCTCTATCTCTCTCTTTCTCTCTCTCTCTCTCTCTCTCTCTCGACATTCAGTGGGCAAGGTGATACGGTGATAAGTCTTCTCATCGATCTCAAGGGGTTCTGGCTTTACGAGAATCGAGAGCAGCTTGCCGCTGATCCGTCCCAACTCGACGCGGAAGACGAAGACGACGATGAAGTGGATGACATGGAGCTGGCTAGCTCGGTTCCTAGCGGCGGCCATGTTGGTAACCAAGGTGATGGTGCAGGCGGCCATGTTGGTAACCACGGTGATGGTGGTGGCGACAGCCAGGATGTCCTGCCGGTGGAGCGGGAGTTCCGCGAGATGAGCGTGCAGGATTTGGAGTGAAGCTGTTTTGTGTGTGTGTGTGGGGGTGCTTGTGTACGTGTGTGTCTGGCGTAGTGGATGGTGTAGAGTGGAGAGAGATCTTAGTGTAAACTATGCGGGATTAGAAATTACTTTCTTTTTGCATGCAATGTACTGTACTGTTTACCTTACTGTGCATTGACCTTGATTCGTTTAATACCTTGACCATGATCTTTGTCTACCAGTCAGTCATGCAGTCTATCTGGAGATCATCACGAGAAAACGTTCTTGATAGAAATAAACTGTTCCAATGATGACAACTGTATAAACACACACATGTACTTGAGACCCGGCGATACCGGTCCCGTCTTCAGTGCTCTGGCCATGGCCGGACCAACGGTTTTGGCTACCGACGTGTGTGTTTACTGCTGAGGTCATGTGACGTGTGTGTTACTGCTGGGGAGGTCATGTGACGTGTGTTTACTGCTGAGGAGGTCATGTGACGTGTGTGTTACCGCTGAGGAGGTCATGTGACGTGTGTTTACTGCTGAGGAGGTCATGTGACGTGTGTGTTACTGCTGAGGAGGTCATGTGACGTGTGTGTTACTGCTGAGGAGGTCATGTATACACCATAGACAGTGTATGGCCTCCATGGCGGCATACACAAAGAGCATGGGAGGTTAGGGTATGGCCAGACCAATCAAAGACTGCTTCCGCTAGTCCTGCAGTGCACACTCTGCTCGAGAGAGTGTGTAGCCTTATTATACGCGTTGAAAAAGAAGGAAAAAACGCCGTGGAGACAACAATTTTAATACGAAAGAAAAAGGACCAAGAAACTACAAGTTACGCTATTGTCCGCTAACACCATCAATTACTAAACAATCCACTCATGCGATAACATTGCACGACACTGACCAACGGTACTGACGTTCTACAACTAACTGGCTAACAGCTCTAGCACACCTTGGATGCGCACTCCACCAGCCTTCCAACTTGGAAGGTTCTAAGTTATGGAAATCCGAGTCCATTACAATTTAAATAGAGCAACACATAGAACTAACTCTGACGTCATCACCATGCATCAGCAAAGTCAAATGTTGTCCAGAATCGAGTTTCATGTCACTCTCGTCAATGGACATTCCACTGACTATAATTATAGACATTCCACTGACGATAGCTATTCCACTGACGATAGTGACATGAGAATCGATTCTGGACAGCGTTTGACTTTGCTGACGCATGGTGAAGATGGCAGAGTTAGTTTTATTTGTTGCTTTTTTAGAAAGAAGGAAGCAAAGCGTTTCTGCTGGAACTCTGGCTTTCACGCTTTCTTCTTTGTTTTTAAATATACCGTATTTTTAATTCACCAGAATTTAACTCGGATGGTGAGTTTTGGTGAAAAAAGTGTTGGAGCTAGGTGTCAGGTCGCCGAATAGACACCCTTAGCAAGAACGGTAACCCTATTTTTACAGTACTCGTACCTTGATCACCCAAATGGTGTTGAAGCTGCAGCGTAAAAACGTTAGGGGGCCTGATTTATCGTTGTGACCAACAGTACGTGTTTTGGCCAACTATTGCATAGTCCGTACGCATTTCCCCTTATAATAAAATCAAGAGTAGATAAACAAGAGTGTGCAACTCGCGGATGGGTTGGCCCACGGCGGAATTTTTTGTTGACGTAATCTTTTCGACGACGCACGCGCTGCGAGCCTTTTGGAGAGGTTTCCCTCGTGCACTTGGCCGGGCTTTACACTACATCGGTCGGTGCCCAGCACGTGCTCTCACACTGCTCTGCGGCAAAGTCCGCGTTTCTCTGAAAAAAGGTGACGTCAACAAAAAATTCCGCCGTGGGCGGGAGTATCTGCAGATTGTGCAGGAGAGATCCTGAGTTGCACACTCTTGTTTATCTACTCTTGATAAAATTAATAAAAGCTATCCTCGTGGCAACAGCGTACTAAAAATAGGGTGCCCAAATCACGGTATTTTCCCCCTTACGGTAATACTGTTACAACACACCGTTTTTTGCTAAGGGTGTCTAATTTCTCAGATTCCTTGTCAGTTTTGTGCCATTTTGTCGCACTTGATGACTGTATAAGATCTGATTACGTTGGTGGACAGTTTGTCATAACTGGTAACATTTTGTCCTCCTTTTTTCACCATAAATCACGAGATACATAGGCATTTCTGCCTTCACGCCTAGACCGCGGTCACACATGAGAAGTGTCCACCGCTTTTGCGGAGGCGAAATGTGTAAGTAACTTAGTTCCGCTGCCGCTTTTGGGGAACGCATGATGCAGCGGTCACACATGCTGTGCACGTGATCCTCTCAACTGTTACGTCCTTACAAGACTCCCCAAAGCCGTGGTTCGTCGCCCGCTTCGCCACGGGATACCTGTGAAGAATAAAATCATGCAAATGTGCAGCATCATTAATTTTTGTGGCCAGATCTCTGCGCTAGCGCCTAGCCTCTCGATCTCGATCTCGGGGTGAAACGATCACTGAAAATTGGCTATTGGTTACCTATACTTATTTGTTCGAACGAGTTGATGGTTATAGCGAATATCTTCACCTGAATGGCTGCTACTTCCCTCTCTTTTGTGAGAAGTAATACAATGAAGCACATCAGAATATTGAGGCCACAGCTACCAGACCACTTGGCATCTCAATTCCCGATTCTCCATCGTAGATAGGCCCCGGCGGATAGTCCTAGCATTATATCTAGCATATTTGGCACTTTCTGGAAACTAGCATTGCACTAGCCTAATCAGCAGGTGTTGCATAAAACTAGCATATTCTTGCGAAACCTAGCATATTCTTGCAAAACATGGGATTTTTGTTGTTGTTATTGTATAAAAGTGGCTTGCTATGTTGTTGCCATGGTGATTATGAACTACTGTGTAATGTATTCTACCTGCACTATGCATGCTAGCCTATAACGTTACGTTAGTGTTGCATGGAGAACAATGTGTACCAGGCCAGGTAAACACTAAACAGAGCACCAAGTTTTTAAATTATTACATCCCGTTAGTTTTTTTCTGGAGTTGCGTGAAGTCCATCCGTGACACTTTTTTGACCCCATATAAAGTGGCATTAAATTGAGCATAACGCGTTAACGAGCATAACGAGCATTAAAACTAGCATAATGTGCCACTTTTACGTATTACACGACGTCCGGGGCAGCTCAGCTATACTGGTGCTGGGAGACTTCAATTCCAAAGTGGGCCGTAAGCAATGTTATGAAGAGTGCCTGGGAAAATACAGTAAAGGCAAGCGGAATGCCAATGGAGACGCTCTCATTGAATTTGCGCAAATGAACAATCTTCTAATGAGCAATACGTGCTTCCAACACCCAAGCAGACATCTAACCACCTGGGAAGGCAAAAGCCCAGCCGGTAAAAGGATCTTCAATCAGATCGACTTCATACTATGTAACTCGAGACAAAGAGCTGTGCTGCAGGACGCCAGGTCATACGCTGGCACAAGAACCTTTTCTGACCATCGCCTAGTTATGGCCCGTGTAAAATTTAAAGCTCTTCACCCTGTGTGGAACGGAGGCAAAACAATCCGCAAACGCAAGTTCAACACCATGAGACTGGTCAATGACAAGAAAATGCAGAAATTATACCAAACGAAAATGGAAGAAGCGGCACCTCAACTCCTCAATGTGGCAGAAGCAAGCGCAAGACTCACGGCAACATGCTCATCCATTCGCAAGGTGGCAACTGGAGTAGTCGGATACACACCGAGCAGAAGCAAGCTACCCTACGCTACGGATGAGGTAGACAAACTCTCAGAATTGCAGAGGAAGCTGCGTATGGATCTTAATAGCACACCAAACATGAGTAGAAGAAATGAGCTGCGAGTGCAGCGTAACAGAGTGCAGAAGGAAATCCGAATCCTGTCTCGACAGCTGGCGTTACAGCATCTTGAGAGCCGCATCAGAGAAGTGGAGTCACTCAAGAACGGGCCAATGATGTTTGCAGCGATAAAACTGCTGAAACCAAAGTGCCCACGAGATTTAACCATTGTAGACAACAACGGCAAGGCTGTCCTTGGGCCAGGAGAGCAAGCGGATAGAATAGCTGAGCATTACACTGGGAAATTCTCTCCTACTGCTGCAGAGCCAGCGGTTACGCCATTCACAGGAACACCGAAACCCCTCGATAAACCGATTTCCACAGCAGAGGTAGCGAGCGCAATGAGTCGTCTAAAGAACCAACGCTCCTGCGGGCCTGATGACATACCGGCCGAGCTGGTCAAATACGGAGGCCCTGCACTTGCAGAATGCCTGAGCAGCATTTTCAACGATGTATTCACTCAGCACAGCCAAGCGTCCCTTGGAGATGGTGTGCTAATCGCTCTGCATAAGCCAGGTAAACCCAAAGGCCCCATGAACAATTTGCGTCCGATAACATTGCTGACTACTGCCAGAAAAATCTTGTCCCTCATCACACTTAGCCGGATCAGAGCTGACGTAGAGCGATATATATCTCCATCGCAAGCCGGGTTCCGTCAAAACAGATCAACCGCAGACATTGTGTTTTGCAAACGGATCCTGGCATCAATTGTTGAACGCTTCAACACTACCATCTACGTGCTAGGGCTGGACCTGAGCAAGGCTTTTGACACAATAAACCGCACAAAGCTGCTTGATGTCATGGAGCAAGAGAAAATTGGAGACGCGGACGGTTTACGACTGGTTAGGTACCTGCTATCTGGCACGGCGCTGACAGTTTGCGTGAACGAAGCACAGTCCGCACCTTTTGAGACAGCTCGGGGGGTCCCCCAGGGCGATGGTTTGTCACCGGTACTGTTCACGGTTTATTTGGAAGCAGCCCTACGAATGGTACGTGACCGACTGCCAGCCCGACCATCAGCAGACAACATTCTACCTGAAGAAACAGCTTACGCCGATGACGTAGACTTCATCTCCACATCAAAATCATTCCTTACCAGCGCCCTACCCGTCATCGCAGGCGTCTTCTCCGAATGGGGTCTTACCGTCAATACCAGTAAGACTGAGTGGATCCGTATTTACCTGGAACCCACTTTGGGAGATGCCACCTCTACAACATCTAGAAAGGTCGGCACAACTCGTGGTAAAGAAGCTTGGCGACAGGTGAAGACACTCGGCTCGCTATACGGCTCCGGGGAGGACGTAACGCGCCGTATTGGCTTGGCCGCAAGAGCATTTGGAGACACTCTGAAGTTATGGTTCAAACACAACCTGCTTTCTACACCCATCAAAATTCGTTTATACAACACTTTCGTTCTACCAATCTTGACCTACAACCTTGCTTGCCATGGCCTGT